TTTCACTGACTGAGCTCCATGGTGCATGCCCATAGGAGGTGGGGGGTCTCACCAGGGTCTCACCTGCACCAGCAGACAACAGCTACAACCAGCGCCGAGAGCCCAGCCACTGCACAGACCACGATCATCACTGCAGACAAGAACAGGGGCCCGTAATAATAGCAACAACCACTTACATTCATGTTGCTTTGAAGTTTATAAAGTGCTTTCCTCATAAGAGTCCAATGAGGTAGGAGTGTAAGGATTACACGAGGAAACTGATGCTCAGAAAGCTGAAAGGCCTTGTCCAAAGTCAAATAGCTAGTAAGTGTTGGAGCAGGGATTTGAACCCAAGTCTCTCCTGACTCCACTCTGTCCAGTATGCCACACTGCTTCCCATCAAGAGGGGGCTGAATCCTCCCTTCTCCCTCACGTTGGTGCCTCCCACCACCCCTAGGAACCCCACCACTACCTACTGAGAACGAGGACATCATTAGATGGGTGTGGGGGATCCACAGGTGACATCTCCACAGGCCTCGAAGATGAATGAGAGGCTCTGACGGTGGGAACTTGAGCGCCCTGAGGGGATGGGGTATCAGGCTCCTGTCCTGGGGACACCAGGGTGGCTGCTAAAGAGGAAGAGGAGAGATCTGGCCAGGGAGTCACCAGGGGCAAAGGGGCCTTGGGTTAGTAAAGGGGAACTGGGGAAGGACATGATAATCATTGGGACTGGGGTGTCAGGTGTCATTGGAGGGATGTGTCTGGGGGAGCTCACCAGGCCAGCGGAAGCGCTGGGGGACAGTATCCTGGCGATGGGGGACAGGGTCTTGATGGGCCAGCATGTTAGCCAGTAAGTCGATTTCTTCTTCCAGGTTGGGCCAGGGCTGCATCTTACCTGAGGGGGTTGAGGGGCAGTCAGACCCTGCCAGAGCCCCCTGGACACTAAGTTGGGGGGGGGGGGGGCAGCCCCTCCTGGGGGGGTGGGGAAGTCCTCAGCACTCCCCCATCCCTCAGACAGAACATCCCCAAACTCGATTTAGGGAATTTACAGTATATTTACATAGTAATAACAATAGTTAACATTTATATAGAGCTTTAAAGTCTAGATCTTATTCAATCAATAGCAGTTGCTGCAAAAATGTGCCTTAAGCCAAAGCCCAGCCAGTACTCAGACTTCGGTTATTTGTGTGTGTATGGGAAGATACTGAGTCCACAATGGTGCCCTTTGGGGGGCCTCAGAGGGCAGGCAGATAGCTTGCCCAGGAGGCCAGGGAGAATTTGGTGATAAGAAAAGGGAAGGGAGGGAGCTAAGCAGTAAGAGACCAGCCAATTCAGCTCCTCCAGTGACACCTATACTTGCAACAGGCTTAAAGGCCACCACAAAAGCCTAGCTGTCACTCCCCACTTCCAAGAACACCCTTTACAGCTGGGGGAGCCTTGGATGGAGTGAGGGAGGAAGGAAAGGGATGAAGTCGGAAGAAAGGAAGATTTTATAGGGGAATGACAGAGTTCCCAAGCTTGGGCCATGGAGGTGGAGTGGGAAAATCAGGAGGCAATAGGAAGAAAGAATACTCCCTCCCTCCACCCCACTGCCCTATTAATTTATTTATACGAATACAACCATGAACATTGGGAGTTTCCTGAAAGTATGGGAAAACGGTATGGATGGGTGGGGGCAGACAGAGAGGCCACACTCATCCTTCCATCTCCTTTTCCCTCACTCATTTGTCCTTATTTTGAGGGCAGGAAACTGAGGCAAGCTAAGACCTCAGAGCACAAAGAGGTTCAGGGACCAAAACACAGGAATTCCAACTCACCCACCAGTTCTATTGGGCCAACACTGCCCCCTGCTGTTCACTCAGTTCTCAAGGGTTCTTGTACCACAATTTCCATAATACGACCATAGCTGAGCTGTGTTAGAAGTCTTTTCAGGATAGGACTCTAGATATCAGCCCTCTCCAGTAAAAGAAAAGGAGATCAAACTGTCTCTTAAGCCAAGGCTTGAAGCCAGGAAGTGACACCTCCCACCCTGAAGGTATGCGGGGATACCCCAGTTTCCTGCCTTGCTCCCTGTTTAAGCAGTTTGGTGTCACCCTCCCCACCCTCCTCCTCCTCCAATTACCAAACAATAATTTCACTAATAAAACTAACTAGAGAGAGCTCCTGCTATCTCAGGCCTTGAGGATGTGCAGGATGCTTGGAGCATGGACAGACATGTGGACCCCAGGGGGTGAGGTCCTGGATTTCTATTCTGTAGGCCACCAGGTTTATTGCTAAAGGAAAAGGAGAAGAAGCTATGCTTGTCAGGGGGTAATATGGGGACAGAGGTGTAGTGGGGATGGACAGAGTTGAAC